TTCTGAGTGTTTTTTCTGAGTGTTCGATCTTTGTATTAATAATTATAGTGAAGATATTTATTATTTTTAGGTGGAGACAGAAATGGAATTTGAGACTCGTTTTGTTGTTGAACAAGTTCACACCGCTCTTCTAGCAGATTCTGCCGATAATGCTCATCCTCTTTCAAATCCTGGAGTAGGAAGCCCGCAAGCTGTGAGCGCTATGTTTAGTACAATAACTTATAACAAAGGCGCTTCCATAATAAGACAGACTGAGCACTTCCTGGGTTCTGAAGTTCATACACAAGGGTTGATAAATTATTTAAAGCGAAGGTATAATTACTTTCCGTGTTGGTGTGGCTATATAATGTATAATGATGTGGGCACATATAATTTAAAAAAAAATATTACAGATCTTTCCTCACTGCTAAGCCAATAGACTTATTTGTGGATCTTGAGAGCGTTGGTATTGAAACAGGTGCACTTGAAGCGTATGGTCCTCAATTCAACTTTATCGAATACTATAAATCTTGGACTGAGCAACCTGGACATCCACTGCTCAGTGTTAACGTGAACCATGCCACTGGCCGCATGACCATCACCCAGGTGAAAATTTATAGATATTTAAAAAATAATTTGAACTATTTGGAAACGTTATGTTATTAAGTATATATTTATTTGCAGCGCCGTTTTTCTATCAACACTGGCTTTTCGAGCGCCCCTACGAATTACATTGTGCCTATTACTTTTGCAAGGGCTAGGGACCCAGACTTCAGCAACACGAAACCTTCTCATATTTTGACTGACTCCGTTACTATTATTGACCGTGGATCCGTCGGCGACGAGTGGGTCATTTTCAACAAGCAGCAAACTGGTAAATGATAATTATTAATACAAAGAGCGAACACAAAGATAAATCTTTCCACCGCAAAGGACCTTTCGAACCTGTGACCACGGAATTCCGTCCTCATCGCTCTTCTAACTGAGCTACAGATAGAGTAATCAAGTCGATGAAATTCTTCAATATGTCTGTATGTACGTTAAAAATCTTTGCATTGTGTTTGTCCGGCTTTCGACGTCTTAGTTTTTCTCTGTGTTCAGTCTTTGTATTAATGACATTTACTCGTATACAATAATAAAGTTAAATTATTTAGATTCATAGGCATGTTACTGTTTTTTTGAACTGGTATTTCTCAATATATTTTTCTTTTTACTTGTAGGGTTCTATAGAGTAAACTATGATGATTACACTTGGAATCTTATTGCTCTTGCTCTTAGAGGCGACGACAGAACTCGTATTCATGAGTATAACAGAGCCCAGGTAAGTTCGAAATAAAATAGGTGAATTTGGCACAAAGTTGGTAAATACTAATATTATTATTAAATGTTTTGTACAGGGTGTAATCGTTAAGAGTACCCAGGCGAATATTCCATAAATATAGGAGATATCAAAAAACTTTAAACTGATATCGAAAGTACGTTACCTAAAGAGTAAATCGATATCAATTACTTTTTTTAAATAAAACTTGAAATGTCCAAAATTTGAACATTAAACGCTCCGATACAGTTAACATGACATTTTTACAGAGGCTTTAGTTTCCCTACTGTAAGAGGTAACAATAAGTTAACAAATAACAAAACAACTATAAATAAAGTAATAAAACAATTTTTTAATATAGTAAAAATTTAATGACATAGTTAATTACTTGGTCAAGGGTAAGTTGTCTATAAAAATGAATAAAATTGATCAAATTATTTTAGTTCTGTTCGACTCAGTTTCATATAAGAATCATTTCATTGTATGGGACGAAAAAAATCGTGACAACAGAAGTTGGTCAAATTTAATAAAAAGATTTTTCATACAAATTGAATACATTTTATTATTATATTTAACCAAATTCTGCTGTCCCGATTCTATTTTTCCATTACAATAAAATAATTGTTGTAAGAAACTGAGTCTATCAGCATTAACAAAAATTACTCAATTTTATTTATTGAAACTATCCGTGGCCGAACGGTTACCATGCTGGTCTGCCACACAGAGGTCCCGGGTTTGATTCCCGGGCTGGGAGAAATATTCGTATAGTTTTCATTTATTTCTCTCGTGACTTTGGGTGTAATTTGTCGTTGTCTATGTGTGTGTCCAAGGCACCCGCAACACAGGGTTTCCCTAGAGCGGGGTTATGAGTGTGTGCGTTATTATTATATTTTACATGAAAAATATTTGTTTTAATTTGACCAAGTTCTGTTGTCCATACTTTTTTCGTCCCATATAATAAAATAATCCTTACATGAAACTGAGTCGATCAGCACATACAAAAATTTGACCAATTTTATATATTTTTATGGGCAACTCACACTTGACCAAATAAATGCCTATGCCATCATATTTTAATTCGATTAAAAGATAGTTTTATTACTTTATTTATATCAGTTTTATTATCTGTTATTGTTACCTCTTACGATACGAAAACAATAAAGCCTCTCTCTACAAATCTCTTATTAAATGTATGGGAGCGTTTAATGTTAAAATTTTGGACATTTCTAGTTTTATTTTAAAAAAAATATTCACGTCGATTTACTCATTAGGTAGCGTACTTTCGATATCAGTTTCAAGGTTTTTAATATCTCTTATAGTTATGGAATAACCACCTAGGTACACTTACACGATTACACCCTGTATATTAGACGTTAGGTGATACCAACCAGCTTATTTGTTTGAATAGTTATTTCCTATATATATTCTTGTTGTATGTCAAAATATGAATATATAATATATAAATTCTATATTACAGATCGTGAATGATCTGTTTCAATTCGCGCGCTCTGGTGTAATGACATACAATCGAGCATTTAACCTTTTGGCATTCTTGGAGAACGAAACTGAGTACGCGCCGTGGTTTGCTGCTATTACTGGCATTAATTGGCTCCGGAACAGACTCGCTAGCTCTCCTGATCTACTTTTAGAGCTCAACGTAAGTATTTGATAGATTCAGGCGTTACTTTGAGGAAGTGCAATAAAAATGGAAGTAAATTTGTTCGCTACTCCGCGAACAAGCGCAGTTATTTTGCACGATAACCTTCATTGGGTTCGTGAAGTAGCAAATTAATTTACTTCCATTTTTCTCAACGTAAGTATCATAACTGCTTGTTATTAGTATAGAACTCTGAGAGTCTATAAAAGTGTATGTTATTACTTCGTAAAATGTGATTGTATAATTTTGATATACCGAAAATTACAAATGATTGATCTAAATATTTTGGTTTAGTTTCATCACCACTTATTAGCAAGGTGTATATGTATGTATATTATTACGTGTAAGATGTCTTCTTAAAAAAGTATATGAAGGTAATGCCTGATTTCTTCTTCCAGGATGTGGTCATTAAATGGGCTAACACAGTCATGACACAGCTTACATATGTACCTAGAGACGGAGAATCGTGGATAGAGTCGTACCTGCGTTATCAATTAGCGCCATTGATGTGTGCAATGGGAGTCCCCGCCTGCCGTGCGGCAGCTACGACACAATTCCAAGCTCTTAGGGATACTGACACCCCGTATGTCTAACTCTTTAATTCACTTTCGACCTTGTATGTGTGTGTTTGTTTGTATTTGCGTTTGTGTGTCCCCTGAACAACTGGTTCTTATCAGTCTAACAATTATTTTGTTTTTGCATACCACTTAATTAACAATGTACGGCTTGCCAGTCAGTAACAGTATTTAATGAAAGAACATTTGTAAATCTATTTTAAGAATGCACTTTTTTACACAGTGTACCAGTAGACAGTCGTAATTGGGTATACTGTAATGCTCTTCGTGAAGGCACTACATCGGACTTCGATTTTCTTTGGGATCGATTCCTGACGCACAACGTCTACACCGAGAAGATTGTATTGTTGCAGACTCTAGGTTGCACACCTTACAACAGCTCACTTTATAAGTAAGCATATTTCCGTATTCCTGAACGTTACTTGTACTTTTACGGATTCAGTGAAATACCAGTGAAGTTTGCCTCAAAGATGCTCACATGAAGAAGGTGATTAAAAATGCGATTTTAATCACCTTCTTCATGTGAGCAAGTAATCACTAAGTGTTTTTATTGAATGTCAGGATCTTTCATCGCCATAATATTCAATTCTTTTTTGTGAAATTACTCCACTAGTTTGTTATAATCGTGTTAATAATTATAACAAACATATAATCATAAAGCTTATAATTAGGAATTGAATATATCGATCAATGTGATTGTGATAATTAGCGTATCCTAATTGATTTATAGTTTTAAGTGGAAGATACGACAGCACCACAAGCTATACGTTTTTATCCGTCAACGTGTAGCTTGATGTGCATGCTACAACTATAACTAATCTAATTATCGAATGTCATATTTGCTAATTAAAGCTGATGCGGAAATTGAATGTGTTTATTCCATATGTGTATACATTATTGTGAAATTTCGTAGATTTGTGAATGCCATCGTTTCGGACAACTTTGAAGTCCGTCCTCAAGACTACACGACCGCTTTTAGCTCTGCTGTCAACGGCAATGAAGGGAATACGATGATCGTCTTCGCTTACATTCAAGACTACCTCGATCAAGTTACACAAGCGTAAGTAATTATATTTTTACTTTTTTATTTTCGAGACATAATATAGGAACTGAACTCTGAACTCATACTTCCAGCAATGACTTGCAGGGCGTTAATGTAGTTCACGACAACCCTATAAAAGAGTTGCTAGTTGTTGTTGCAATCAAATAGGATTTGATAAAAGTTAAAATTCGATGTAAAAATTATTACTTTCCATTACAATCACGCAGTCATTGAAGCAATATTAAATTTTCTCAATTTTCTCATATACATTTTTATCCTTCACTCTACTGCATTCTACTATCTACTCTTTATACCCGTCAATAGAAAAATAAGATTCCTCTACAATACTATCCCATCGATTTTTATTTCGTTACGATTTTAGTCACGAGCATTCTTGTACTTTAAATAAAAAAGTAACTGATAAATACTAATCTTTATTAACAATGTGATTTAGAGATGTCAAAATGTGTAAACCAAGATTGTCAGCTTTGCAAATCAGTTTTATAACGCTGACGTCTTTAATTTTGTTACGTATTCCCAGGTTCAATTCAGCTACGACGCCTCTGGCCTACATTTCCTCTCGATTGAGAACTGAAAGTCAAGTATTGGAGGTAAGTTGTTAGACAGTGGTAGTATAATTATTTATTCCTGAAACATTTGCTTAAGGTCAAATGTCTTGATACTGTTTTCGTTCAAAATTTTTATTGAATGCCGATAAGATTGTTTTCTACCAAAATATTACTGTGATATCAGAAATAATTTTTATGTAATAATTATTATTTACGAACTTACCTGTTAATGCTTTTAAATAGTTCATACAATAATTGTACTTATAATTAATTACCTTCCTAAATACCTATTCTAAAAATTATTTCGTTGGACTCAGTTATATTGTACTTTAATTTTAAATGCCTCAAATTAAACACTACGATTGATTATATCGATTATATCACATTAACATCTTAATATAACACACGTTTAGAATTTCGGACATTCATGAGCAACATTTTTATATGACAACAAACGCTTGACATGTCATATTCAGTCTATTAATTAACAACTAATTTACATTCTCATACGTACTTGCAGTTCCAAAGATGGGTCAATGACAGCCGTGCAGACTTAGGCGACGACTACCAAGCTGTTTATAACAATGCCAATGCTGCCCTCGAGAGCATCCAATGGGTACAAGATGTCTCTTCAGACTTGAACGACTATTTCACCGGTGATGATATCACCTTCGATACGACTACATCAAGTAGTACTACTACGGAACAGATAACCACCGTAACACCTGGCCTTCTGGTGGAACCTATCACACCAGAATTTCCAAACTCCGCTGTCTCCACCGCCGTCTCTTTGTTACTCCTTTCACTCGGAGTCACCGTTCACTGGTTTTTCTAAGTTGTCTATTATTATAATTCTTTTGCGTCTATCATTATTTGGAATATCTTAACTCATATGTTATGAAATACCTAAGTACTAAAATTATACTTATAAGTAATAATTTTTACCTGAAAAATGATAGGTGCATGACAGTGATGTTGTAAGTATGGATCATAGAGGTTGTGATACTCCAAATGTCTTAGAGCAAAAAATAAACGATTGTAAATAAGATGGAGCCTATGTGCTTTATTTATTAAATAAAGAATATTTTTACATAATTCTTATGTTTTTCGTTACCAGTTGAAATGTCAAATTTATTGTATGTGATATTAAAAAAATTAGGTATTTATATATAATGAAAAACATAACAATTTTAAGACATGTACATTAATCGAAAAGAAACCGACATGAAGTCTTTTAATTTGAAATGGAAACAAACCGATACCCATAGGTTGCTCCGAATATCAACAGTCATTTGAGCTGACACATAATGTCGGTAGTTGCACAAAATTGCCAAAATATACTTGGATTACATATCAGTACATGTTATAGTAGTTTATGTGACTGTTACATAATGAAAGGTATTAAAATATACGAGTGTGCCTTTATGAAACGAGCCGACAAGCGTGTTTCATGAAAACATTACACGAGTGTTTTAATGCCTAATTATGTACAGTTACGTACACTGCTTTATCTATACACATATTATAAGCTCTCTATGATGTGTTCAGGAACCGCATGTTACGACTGGCGAAATGGCGGCTAATAAAAACTTTGCTCACGCATGTCACGCAACACACGTTTTTTTTATTCATAGACAAACTGGAGTCGGCCCCAACTATCATATCGTTCGATATAAAGTAACGTGTGAAATTTGTCAAAATTGTTTGCTATTGATTGACTTCGAATAAAACTTCATCTCGACTGATATTAGAATTGAGGTTCAATTAAATTGTATTGTTTTTCAGAGGTGTTTGAAGTTTAATAATAAAATCGAATTTGATGTTATTAGCAATAATAACATTTTCACAGATAACAATTTTTTTCAAACAATAGTTTATCTTTATGCTGGTCGTAATTTGCGGTTTTTGAACACATAATAGAGTACACTACCTCCACTATCACCATCGTTAATAACCTAACCTCCGATTAAAAATACCGACCTCAAAAGTTATTCATCCCCTAGTTTACCACCCTTAGAGGTGGAATATTTTCTTCAAATTGAAATGGGACCACTTCTGAGGTACTCTCTTTTCAACAAAAAAAGAATTATCAATATCGGTTCACAAATGGCAAAGTAATCGCGTAACATCATACAAATATATATATATATATATATATATATATATATATATATATATACAGACGAATTGAGAACCTCCTCCTTTTTTGAAGTGGGTTAAAAATGTGAAAACATGAAACACATAATAGAGAGTTTATGGTATGTGTATAGATAAAAATGTCAATATTTGGTATTTAGACTTCATAATGGATGGCATACTTAAATTTGAGCCATGTAAAATTGCGACTTGTGTCGCTAAAACAGCTGTATAAGCTAAGTTCATTTTTAAACAGGTTTTTGCGGCTTAGACTGTTTAATTTGGATTATTGTAACGTAGTCTACGGGCCTTGTTTACTGAAGAAATCGGAGTAGATTCAGCGAGTCCACAACTCTTGTGTCCAATTTTGCTATCCAGTCCCTCACTCTCTCATATTACCCCGTTTCTTAATTCTTTTGGCCTTTTAAATATGTCGTAGACGTAGATTAAAATTGGATTGTCTGATATTTAACCTGAGACATTATGGTGTACCTCAATATTCGGCTAACAAATTCTCCTGGAATGACAGAATAATAGATCAGACTCGGTCAACGTGGTACCCAGTGTTACAATATCGTTCGTTTTTTCGGTTACACTCCTTCAGAGGAAGCTTTCGGTTTGCTTCGTCTAAATGTTGGAATGACATTCCACCCCCGATTAAACTTAGCCAGTCGTTGGGCACTTTTAAAAGAAAGCTACTTAACGTACGGAAAACCACAATGTTGCTGGACTAAATCGCTATCGCAACTGCATTATATGTAGCAAATAGTTTCTTGGCATTGTTTTAAGTTTCTCTTTAGTTTATTTGTCACCTAAGTAAACTTTAGTATATGTAAAATAATAATAATAATTCAAAATAATAATTATTAAATAATAATATTATAATAATTTGTTTGTTTTCTCCACATTAACACTTTTATCTCACGACATATTAAACAAATGTAACCATTTGAATGTTGAAGACTATCGCTCAAACTGTGTAGAACCCTGGTTTTGAGAGACCGTCTTCCTTTGTGAAAAAAAATTATTACAATGAAAAATACGAAAACTCTGTGGTGAAGTTATAACTACTACATAATTTAACATATACATAAAAAACAAAAAATAAAGCTAAAATTTAAAATAATTTTCAATTGGTGTGTGTAAAAAGTTATAACCTGTTCCAATGCCATTTGTATCTGTATTTACTGTTCTATTACTTGCAATATAATAATATATATTCCTATACTCAACAAAATAATAAATTAATTTTAAGCACGTCCCACAAATTTAAAATATATGATTGTTGTGAAGTCTGATAATTGTCAGCAGCGAATGTCAAGGTGGAACCTGAAGCAGCGTTTAGTGCTGAGGCTCCATATTTTTCATAAGCACTAGATTCCACTACATTTCCGAAACTGTACCTTTATTAACCATTTTATTGTAAATTTGCTTATGAATAAATGTCCTATTATTGTAAACCCTGAAGTTGTGAATATAAATGAGGCTGAACATTTTTCATATATGTTATTTTTAAAATCTCATGAAAGGATAAGTTAACTGACAAGCAGATGTTACAACTTTCACAGCTTCCTAACCTCACTGACATACTCAGAGATAGAACATTTGTTGCACGTAAACGTTCGATATTGCTAACCTAGTTCAACAAATAATCAACCTTGTTCTAGAAATAAAACATATACATACGATAAATAAACGACTCAATTAGAGGTGTTAGAGTTGGGTCACCATTTCTATGGTTATGTTGCGTCTGTGTAATGTAGCTACTAGCTTTTGGGTTTCGCATGTAATTTTTATTTAGATATTAATTTGGGGGTAGAATGAATGTTAAGACCGGAGGAATGTTATGACTGTAGTATTATAGTTTTTTGGTCGACGTATGCAAATTATAGAACCTCCACGCTAAGTACACTTAATGTTATTTGTTCCGTAATCAATAAAATTGAGGACGCTAAAACTAAATTTAAGATGCACATTGTTACGTGGATGTTTGAATCTAGACAAAAGGCTTTCCACAAATGATGAAAATTTCAAAACGAAGTTTTGAAATAAAGCAGTATGATCAATTGTTTTGAATAATTCGATAAATAAACCGAATCATATTTTTGTGAATTTATCTTAACTTCCTTTGTTACATTTATATATATAATTATTATATTTGCTTTGAAACAATATTTATCAAATGATTAATGTTATCTTTTAGATAAGATTATGAAAAATTTTAATACTGGCTTCAAAAGGTTAAAAGCTTCATTTCAATCACATTATCAGTAGAAAAATGGTGAGTATCTATAATAATAATTTTCATATTTTTTTAAAAGTCATGGGGCCTAATATTCTAAAATTTATTGTTTTTGTTTTAAGGCGAAACGATTTTTAATTTTCTGGATAGGCTTGGCCCTTACTCAGGGTCTATTTGCCCTAAGTCCTATTCCTGTTGATGAGGATGAGTGGGAATCTTTTCTAACAATGCTGCGTGATCCAGCGTATCGTCTCCCTACATCAACACGTCCTAGGCATTACGAAGTAAATCTGACTCCTTACTTCGAAACAGTTTCCAATGGTGAAATTCCTTTCACTTTTGACGGCCACGTTACAATTTACACGAGACCAACAGTGGAGGATGTCAATGAAATAGTCTTGCATTGTAATGATTTGATTATCCTATCACTATCCGTTCAGTACCAACTAGGTAACGAAACCGAAATCATTTCATATCCTGATCGAAACTATGAGTGCGAGATGCCTTATTCATTCTTGAGGATACCAGTTACACAAACTTTACAACTAAATCAAGAGTACATAATAAAATCGACGTTCAAAGGTAACCTACAGACTAACATGAGAGGATTCTATAGAAGTTGGTACGAAGACAGTACTAGCAAAAGGTAAAATGGATGAAAACGTTGAACGTAAATTTGAAATTGTTTTCGTTGTTTTATAAAGTTCTGTTAATTTTTTTGTAAGTATCGGTGATCTAAAAATATTTGAAAGTTTTTGAATGTTATTGTGTCGTATTGATTATAAATGTATAATTTATTGTGAATTTCGTTAAATATTCCTAGATGGATGGGTACCACGCAATTCCAGCCTGGTCATGCGCGACAAGCGTTCCCCTGCTATGATGAACCTGCCTTTAAGGCAACATTCGACATCACCATAAATCGCGAACCCGACTTCAGCCCTACTATCTCCAACATGCCACTGAAAGGTCCTGGCGAAGTGTAAGTATCGACCAAATGTTAATAAAAATGGAAGTAAATTAATCTTACTGCTGCGCGAATCCATTGGAAGTTAAATTGTGCTGAATTATTTTTTATGAAATTAATTTTCTCACCCTAAAATAAATAACACAAGCGCAACTATGGTCACAGATACGACCACGAAAAATATGCCTATGCCTGACAGGTGTTTCGACTCTCTACGAGGCATCCTCAGGGATTGTTGATTGTTCGACGCTCGGTCGAGGAATGACCTCGCTCAGAATGGTTGGTCATAATTATACCCCACTACCTCCACTATCACCATCGTTAAAAATATGAAAATATTTAGCACAATTGCCTGCAATAACAGTGATGACGCAATATTCAATTGTTCAATAATTATTATAAATCCCCTATTGTTATATCTAATTATTTCCATATGTTCTAGAATTACTTGAACGTATTTAAAAATTCGTATTAAAATAACACATGTTATTAAAGGATCATTTTTTTTTTCACTTTAAGTTTGCAAAAATAGTTGGCAAAAAAATTTAAAAGGTCAACTTGTTTAACGATTGATACATAAAATAAATTAAATCAATGGATATTTTAATCTGTTTTGAGCTAGTAAAATATGTTTGATTAGTATAAATTAACTTTGATAGGTTCATGTTGGGTCTCAAAATTAAGACAAATGAGCATTAAAAAATAAAATTTCGATTATGTTCTTTATAATTCGATTTACTAAAATACTTTTTTTTGTACTTAAATTTGAATTGACTTATTGTTGTGTATACGTATATTAACCCATATTGAGCTTCATTCAATATTTTTTGGTACCTACTTATTGATAAATTGTAGTCAAGTTATGGGAAAGAAACAATAATTACAGGAACTTCATGCATTTAGAAATCTTTATAATTAAGTACTTACTTAGTGGAAAATTAAACTTAAGGTAAGTACGTATACTAAACTAAATTATTGAATAATTAAAAGACGTTTTGATTTTGTGGGTCGGCCACGTTTTCTTTTTTGGCCTATGGGAATATTTTTGGCCTTAAGTGGTGCCGATAAATACTTCAGACGAATCGCCATTTCTATGACATGTTTGCACATTTGTTTTCGTAAATTGCGGGCAACTGCATTTGTTGTTGCTTCTTGTTTGCTTCTTGCTTGCACTGTTACTTCCCAATGTGAAAAATAAATCTCGTATTCATCATCATCAGCATCTGACTGTGAAATGGTCACTTTCTGTCCATCCTAACTCAATGACAGGCGGTTACCAATCATCCACAAAACACCGCGAAAATTTAGGGATAATTTTTTTCATTAAAAATAGAAACCGAATATATTTTTCATTTGAAAACATATTTTTAAAAGTTTAGGTATGCAATAGGTCTAAGTATATTTATTAAGACGCCAGTATCAAAGGATGCTGGTTATAAATACCATCAATCGTTAAAACAAAACACCAATAATAAAAAAGGGGATCAAATATTATTTTTCAATACCAAATATTAATACAGTACACTTAAACATAATGATAGTGTTACCTTGAATGCAGTTCATTTATAATTTATCTGCAGATCAACTAATATAGACGGAACAATTAATATATATATGAAACAAAAAAATACCCTTAAAAAGTGCACATTTAGAATAGATGAATTATATTTTTAATTATTAAATAATATTGTCCCTCAAATTAATAGGTCCAAAGTAATAGGTACTTTATACCGAATTGGAAACAGATATTGTTATAGTATATTTGTGTCAAAAAGGGCAAAAACATGACACAAAAATTTAATGTTTCGAATTGTTTACAGATTAAGTGACGGGAGAATAGCTGAAACTTTCGAAACTACTATGTATACTTCAACTTATCTTCTTGCTTTTATCGTTTCCCACTATACAATAGTATCAGAGGGTACCAACGCTACCAGACCTTTTAATATTTACGCGAGGGATAATGCCGGCTCTACGGGTGACTGGTCTTTGGAAATCGGAGAACTCCTTTTGGAAGAGATGGAACGATATACTGACTTCCCCTACTATACTATGGCCGACAACATGGACATGAAACAGGCAGCCATTCCCGATTTTTCTGCTGGCGCTATGGAAAACTGGGGTCTTCTCACTTACAGGTTACCTTATTATTGTCTACAGACGTGACGATTTATGATAACATGTTTAAATTTTTAATAAATTTGAACATATTATTAAAGTTAAAAGTTTCCCAATTAAATTATTTATTACAGGGAAATGAACATCCTCTATGATCCGTTGAATTCCAATCACTTCTACAAACAACGTGTAGCTAATATTGTGGCACATGAGGTTGCACATATGTGGTTTGGTAACCTTGTTACTTGCGCCTGGTGGGATGTTCTTTGGCTAAATGAAGGATTCGCTAGATTTTACCAGTATTTCCTGACAGAACGTGTAAGAAATCTTTTGCTATTGTGTAAAAATCTTATAAAAACTTATTATATATTCGCCCGTTTCTTTATGGAATCTTTTACTTTTTTGTATAGGTTGCCCCATATCTACATTATGAAACCCGCTTTATCGTAGAGCAGGTACATGTCTCCCTTCTCTCGGATTCATGGGACTCTGCTCACGCTTTAACTGATCCTAGTGTTGACAACCCCGCTTCTGTCAGCGCACACTTTTCCACCATAACGTATGCTAAAGGCGCTTCTGTGCTTCGCATGACTCAGTACTTACTCGGAAAGGATACTTATGAAAGGGGACTTCGGAATTATCTTAAAGACAGGTAATCATTGAACTCACTAGGAGGCTTTTTTAAGTCACTCAAATGGAGAACTAATCACTATAGCGTTTCATTTAATTAATACACTTTAGACAATTCGACGTCGCGGATCCAGAAGATCTATTTAACGCTTTGGAAATAGTTGCCAAGGAGGATGGTGCACTAACGGCGTACGACGGCATAACCGTGACCAGCTATATGAAATCTTGGTCTGAACGTGCCGGCCACCCACTGCTCACCGTTACAGTAAATCAACAGACAGGACAGATTATTGTCTACCAGGTACCTTCATAAACATTATAATTTCATAACAGCGCTGTCATGCTCGGTGAATTTTACTATGATATTATTGAATTTTCAGGCTCGTTTCAATCTCAACACTGGAGTATCTGAAATTCCAACAATTTGGGAAGTCCCTATCACATGGAGCAGAGGTGGCGCCCCTGAATTCACAAACTTAAAACCCTCTGTTGTCCTGAAAGAACAAGTGACTGTACTTCAGCGAGGCACTATCGGCTTAGAATGGGTCATATTTAATAAACAACAAACTGGTATTTTAATTATTTATTTGTATTGCAAGTCTAACTTTACTTAATTTTTTATCTTTAAGTATAAAGTTTACAGGTCCTTTTTTCTATGTGAAACATATTTAAATAATAATGACAATACTAGTTATTTTGATAAATACTCCCTCATTTTTCGAAAATATTCCAATGTTGTTTGATTATTTTCTTCAGGTTTCTACAGAGTCAACTATGACAATACAAACTGGGCTCTCATTACACGAGCATTAAGAGGTCCCAATAGAACAGACATCCATGAGTATAACCGTGCTCAGGTAAGATAGTATTTATTATCGATCTTCAATGTTACATATTTGTTTTCAGTTCATTATTTTTAACAAAATGTTTCTTTTGTAGATTATTGATGATCTATTCCTCTTTGCAAGATCCGGTTTGATGCCCTATAACACGGCTCTAAACATCCTTTCGTTCCTGGAGTTTGAAGATGCGTATACTCCTTGGATGGCCGCAATTACCGGATTCAATTTTCTTATCAGAAGATTGGCACACGATCCAGAAAACTTACAAAAGTTAAATGTAAAATATCTTTTGCAAAATATTCTATTTTAATTTGTTTTCTGTGTCAATGTAAGAAATTTGTACAAATAACAGCTAAAAGTTATGTACAATTACCAACTCCAAATGAAAACAATTGGGGTCCCTTACTCGCCCTAAATATTTTTTAGACTGCTCCTTAGATTCCTCTATCATGTATATACCGTGGCCAGCGATGGGTAGAGATACTGCAATATATGAACACGTACAAATTTATATATATATTATTATTGTACAACGTTTTATATATTTTTAGAATCTAATCATCGAATGGAGCGCGGCGGTGACAGCCAAACTTCGGTTTGCAGAAATATTTGATAAGGACAATTACGACAATTACTTGGATGACCTGCAGCGTATGTACGTTATGGAATTCCTTTGTAACGTTGGTCATAGAGATTGCGTAAGCTCGGGTTACCAGAACTTCCAACAATGGAGGCACATTGACGGATTGTGAGTATTTTATCGGTGTGTACCTACTTATGAGTTCCTGCATCCAATTTTTAACATGTCAGGTATATATTATATATTGCATTTGTTAGAAATTCATAGTTTTGTTTCAGTGTACCACCAAACATGAGACCTTGGGTATTCTGCGTGGGATTGCGCCAAGGCAATTCTGCTGATTTCGATTACTATTGGAATCGTTATCTTCTGCAGGACGTTGCTAGCGATAAAGTGGTTATGCTGCAAGTGAGGAATAAAATGTCTTTTTTAAAATATATTAATTTTTTTATTGTAATTAGGTTATAGTGGGAGTAATATTTTAGGTAGCCGGCTGTACCACTAATGAGGCCAGTTTAGAGAAATTCTTGGACGCTATCGTAGCTGATGACGATGCAATTCGTCCTCAAGATTTCAATACAGCACTCAACTCTGCTGTTAGCCGTAATGAAGAAAACACACTCAGGGCGTTCAAATGGCTTCAGAAAAATATCAATCGGACCACTGAAACGTAAGATATTGCTTGTAGTGTAGTAGTAAATTCCGATTTATCAATATTATTTTTGTGTTCGCATAGAAATTAGGTTAATAAAATGAATTTACTTTGTACTATGTATTATTGTCACTTGTTTGGTACCTATATAAATTCTAATAATTCATTATGGATATACGTTAATTAAAAACTGTTTAAATTAACAAAATTTGCAGACTTGGTAGCGTGTCAACGCCTGTAAGCTATATCGCTGCGCGCCTTCTAAATGAAGACCAAATTAGTGAGGTAAGTCAGAGAGAGTTAATCGAAAAACCTTTCAACTAAATATACACTACAAATAGAAGACACCCAAAATATACTCATGTTATGAATATTTTTGTGTGTCAGTTCCGAAGTTGGCTACAAGAGGTCCGTGCAGAAATCGGCGAGGCAGCATATAATACTGGCATTAATGGAATAGCTACAGCTCGAAGCAACCTTGAATGGTCCGCTAAAAGGATTGATGAACTTGTTATCTACTTCGAAACTGGCTACGTTGAAGATATCATCGAAGAATAATAGCTCCCGTTACGGAACCAATTATGGATACCGCCATGTATTTAAACACCGATCCCGTCACTAATCCTGTCTTTGCCGGGTTCTGCCAATATTGTTTCAAATTCTTAGATTGTAAATTTAAACGTTGTGATATATAATGTATAATTATTGTTACATAAATTATATTTTTAAAATATTTGTTTATATTTTAAAATTATTGCTCTTGCTGATGCGGTTCGAGTGTCACCGCTGTCTACAAAGTCTCAAAAGGGAATGGCAGTTTAAAAGCGCGCGCATGAGGTTTGCTTAGCGATATTCCGTGACGACCTGTTTTAAATCATAATGAAAATAAGGCAAAGGAAATGTAAAACAGCTTCACTATTTTCCGCTAACAACTGTCTGATATCCGAGGCTTGCAGTCGAATCTCACTTCAGTTTTTCACTCTCCAAAACCAAAAATCCTCAACTGCTTTTCCTGCCTACATTTGAGATCAAATGTTTGGCTATGGCTATATCTTTGGAGGATTCTGGATGAAGCAGATATTCCCACTGTGTCTTACATAAATCTAAAAAAATAAGTGTCCATTTGAAAGCCATAAAATTAAATAAATACATTTTTGTTACGTAAATAAGCCGTAATTAATGAACAATAAACAAAGCTGATTAAAAGAACATTGATTAGTTTAAGTGGCACATTAAAGATAATGTGATTAGCAAAGGAGGAATGATATTGTTTAATTGATAGATAACGAGATAATCTTCCAAAAATTCTTTGCAATGCAAAGATAACGGTATTTTGTATATATTTTATAAAACAATTGAAGTGGACGATGTGGACTGTGTGAGATTGGAGTGAAGAAACTACAGAAATGAGAAAATTGGAATGTCATAAAGAATACTAGTATTGGAAAATGACCCTTACGACAAAATGTCTCTTAGAACATTTCAATTTCCCACCGTCGATATGTATAATATATATGTACACAACCACACGCACGCACGCACACACACATTTATACATATATACAGTGGTGGTCATGGAATTAAGAACGTTTAATGACACGAAGGCATTATTAATAGGGGTTAAAGTATGAAATTGCCGATTTGTACTGAAAATCTAA